ATTCCAAAAACAGGAAACCCACCCAAATAGCTCGCAGACGAAAATAAAGAGGAGCGTGGACAATTAACTGTCACGCATTGTCTCGAAATAGACGCCCCACGCTGGGGGCGATGATGCTGGAGTGACAGCGGAGAAGCGACGTTCGGCCCTTGACGAACCTTGCAGCCACGACCGAAGATTCGCACCTGGAAAAAAAAAAGAAAAATATATATTTATATTATTCTCAATTTCGTGTATAATATAGTATATGGTATATAAGTATATTTGGTAATTATATATATTTATTCATTTATTCTCGTATATGTAATTTTAGTATGTATATCAATAATTACTAGTACCGCATTCGAGTATTCTGACACTTCCCTATGGTTGACTGGGAGAGAATGCTTTTAGGATTAAGTCCGCCATGTACACATATTTGTACTAATGAATAAATAAATAATTTACATATATATATATATATATATATATATATATATATATATATATATATATATATATATATATATATATATATATATATATATATATATATATATATAATATATATTTTTTTGTGGTACAACAATAGCATTATAAGATTGCAATCGAATTATAGTTGTACTCAACATTCACAGAGATGAAACATAATAGGTTGATTTTTAATACAAAAAAGAATGATAGATAAAAACTACATACAAAACAAGAATCAAAAACAAAACTACCAAACTATGCTTATAAACTATTAGGTTATTAATGTGACATACATTGATTTACATACATTGCTTCGATACACTTTTCGTAAAAGATATTGCATAACATTTACCAATATTCAGGGCCATATGGTTTATTTCATAATAATGAATATAGTTACCATCATATAAATATGCATTAGGTTAAACCATATATGGCATTCAAGGTTTCACTCCACATATATCACAAAATTATAATATTTATACACATGAAAATAGAAAATTTATTTATTTGGTTTAACACTTGGTATCCCAATAGCGAAGTACAATTAGCTTTCAATATATATATATATATATATATATATATATATATAAAGTGCTCATAAAAAGTGCTGTACCAAATTTAATGCATTTTTTTTAAGAAAGAAAGAAACTTTACTTTACAAAATATACGACTACACCCACACAGGGGGTGAAAAATAATTAAAAATTATAATAAAGAAAGTATACAAAAAATATAAATAAAGAAAATACAAAAAAAATTGCACATCACAGCAGTTACATCAAAAATGAGTGTGTGTGCGTGCGTCACGATATTTGCAAAATGACAATAACGGTGAATAGCTTTTTAATTTTGTATATTTTGAACTAAGAACAAAGTATTACATACAAGGAATGATAAAATAAAAACAGTAAATCATATATTTGCCTCCTTTCTTTTTATGCGAATATAATTAGTAAAAAGAGGACGAAAGGTACACCAGCAGTTGTAATTTTTCTCAATGCATAGCAGGCTAGTATATAGAAAATGTTTGATATGTCAATTATTTATCAATGACAAATTTTACATTACTGGATTATACATTTGACACAGTTTATGTAGAAAGTATGCAAGCAGGTTGTATCTGAATTTGGTAGGGTTACATGTACGGCTGTATAACATTTTCTATACACTAATCTGCTATGAATTGACAATTTTATCGCTCCTTTTATGTAATTCCTTGTTATAAGATTTTTAAAGTAATATTTACAATGGAAAAAAAAAAAAACAAAAGAAGATCAGTGACGGGCAAAATGAAAATATATGGCTATTAAAAAAAAATGCAACCCTCAGCATTTGGGGGGGGGAAGGGATCGTTAGTAATGCGGGCTACCGGTCTTATTGCTAGCAGTATACCCTGTCAGGTCGACCTCCACGCGGTTCCCCCTGGAAACCATCGTGCTGAGTTCCAGGTGTATTCATCACGATGGGCTGACTGACCTGCTTATTTCATTATTCACCTACCATGCCTCACTGGTGTCCCGCCAGCGTATACCGTTAGCGCAGGCGGGGTTATCACTCTATTCATCAAACTTTAAAAAAAAAACATTCAGTATTTGACTGATTAATCCATTATGTGATTTATCAGACTGCCACGACTTCTACCTATAGGGGGGAGAAAAGGGATTGTAAGTAATGGAGACTGAGAATCCCATTGCTAACAATATATCCAACCAGGTCGACCTCCTTGCGGTTCCCACAAGAAACTATCATGATTAATTCCTGATGAATTCATCATGATAGGCTAACTGGCCTGTTTTCATCCTCATCGATCACCCTTCACTGGTGCCCCGCCAGCGCATCCCATTAGCGCAGGCGGGGTCACCACTCCATTTTCATCCAATAAAAAAAAAAAAAGCTTCTACCTATAGAATCACTATTCCTATACACACATACAGATACCTTCGTCGCTCTATTAGTATCGTCTGTTATTTCACAATATGCTTTCGATTAGGATCGTGTGAGCTGGCAGCATTCATACAAGTCATACACAAAGCGAACATCTGTAAAATATTAACCAGAATCATAGTGTGTGTATGGTTTCACGAGTACTATGTCTGATTCAAGTTGAACAACACAGTGCTCTGAATAATTTACACGTGTATAGTTACAGCAAATAACTTCACTAATTCAATTAGATGCATAAAAGGCTTTTTGTAGGAGTTTTCTAGGAGTTTTTTACCAGAGGGAGACTTTGTACAAAAGTCGATTGCTTGGGTACCTCTGTCCTATTCGTGTTTCAACCGTGAAGCAGCTGTGTTTCGGTTTGAAGGGTGGGATATGGCGTGAATTTACTGGGTACAGAGGAATAACACCAGAGGAATGGCAACGCATGGGGGTATTATGGGCGAAACAGTATACTCTGTTATGTCCATGGTACTGCTCATGTCTATAGGCGACGGTTACCACTTTTCATCAGGTGGGCCGTTAGCTTGTATGCCATTCTAAGTTGTATAAAAAAAAAACTTATTACAGGAAAATTATAGGATATTGCCTCCTTTCAACTGACTGCATAATGAGGGAGATTCCTAATTTAGTTGTATTTTTTTTTTATAAATTGTGCCCTCTTTTCTACGGTTTCCTTAATTTTATCATGTAGTCAGTCAGTTTGTTTGGCATTCTAATTATCATAAAAACATATTTCAAATACCAAGTCCACACTGAATTTTATACCACTGAGGTGGCAAACAAGCATACGGCCCACCTGATGGTAAGCGGTTACCGTAGCCTATGAACGTCTGCAATACCAGAGGTATTACGCGCGCGTTGCCGACCCTGAAGAAACCTCTTTACCCCCCTTTTGAAGAACCCCATGCTGTAGTCTCTTGGGAAAACCTCGAAATGTTATTAAATATCTAAATTAGGTACTAAAATTTGCGTTAGAATTGCTTTAGATACATTTAATTCTCAAGGTAAGGACCATACTATAATAATTTTGCTAAAATATTAAATTAAAAAAGTAATTTTATTTTTAAACAATCTATGGAACGGTATCTCAGGACTGACCCCAAAAGTAATAAAATAGTCAAAGAAAAAGTTCAATGAGCCATCATCGGTTAAAAATATCGTAATTTTTAACTATCCTCCCTTCATCCCCCGGCAGGGAGCAACGGAACCATTACGTGAAGGAAGCATTATTTCCGCTCGTTAACTCAAATACTTTGCTGTTTGATAAATGCTTACTAGCTCTTTTTATTTGGGATGTTCTGAGGGTGTGAACGTTGTAGCGGGTTTTGAATTATTGCATGAAAGTTACATTTTATGTTTATAAATACTAATACTACTATTTTTAAATAAAAAGAGTTTTAAATACACTATCGATACTTAACACAAAAATTCGACTTCAACTGTGACAAAATTTTTTTTTTTTTATACAACTTAGTATGGCAAACAAGCTGACGGCCCACCTGATGGAAAGTGGTAACCGTCGCCTATAGATATGGACCAGTACCACGGACATAACAGAGTATACTGTTTCACCCATAATACCCCTCATGCGTTGCCATTCCTGAGGACTCAGGCGTTATTCCTCTGTACCCAGTAAATTCACGCCATATCCCACCCTTTAAACCGAAACACAACCATGCAAACACAACTGCTTCACGGTTGAAACACGAATTATAATCTAAAACTAAACTACGGAACCGATTTTGATAAATTTTCTTTGGGATCAATCTGTAAGTACATATTTTTGTATACCACAAAGATAGATAGATAGATAATTTATTTGCATTACTTACAGCACACAAATTACAACATATGGTATATTGTTATACTTAAAAAGTGAGATAACATAAATTATAAAAAAAAAAAAAAAATACATGAAGCTAAATACAATTTTTCGTTTATGCGTGTACCATAGCAATACAAAATGGTCACAACTCAGTTTATTGGTTCGCCCTCAAAAGAGCAAAGCACTGATATTCTGTTGCGGCCAAAGGGAATAGGTTAACAATAATATAATACTACCGGATTATCCATACAGTAAATAGATAGATATATAGTAAACAAACATATATGACAGTTTAACTAGCAGACAAATGGAACATAGAGGTAACTAAAGGCGGTAAGCATACAGCCCGTCTAATGGTAAATGATCACTGTAGCCTATGAACGCCTGCAACACTAGGAGTATCACGTGCATGTTGCCGATCCTGAAAAAACCTTAATATTCCCTTTTTATGAAAACTTTAAAATAAAAAGAATTTCCTAAATCAGTATAGAACTAATCGAGTTACTAGGTAACAAATATAAAAAAATGCAATCGAATTGAGACCCTGCTTCTTATTAAAGCCGGTTGAAATTAAAAAAAGTTTGCTAATAATTTCTTTCACAATCTAATCGACATTGTAACGTTGATAGTGAGGATATAAAAAAAAAAAAAACCTGTAATTGTATGCCTATTTTTACTTTTAAAAATATTCATAGCTGCAAATTTATTTATGTATTTAAATTTAATTTACGAACGCTGCACAATTTCTATTCTAATTTGAACCTTATTGTTATAGACATAAAGAAGCAATTCAACCACCAACCCCAGTCGGTAACGGTTGAAGCCGGCAGGGGGGTTAGTTTCCGCTGCGTGCCCCCACCTGCCGCGCCGTCCGCTACCATCAAATGGTCGAGAAACGGGGCTGTGTTGGAAGCCAGCGATGAAACGCTTGTCTTACCGAAAGTTGATTTGCAGGTAGGGTGATCACAGATAAACTATAACATCTGGTAATACAAGACGGGTGTCTAATGAAATGATTGTAATTTGGCATCTGATTGGAATTTTAATCATATAAATGATGCTAGAACTATCATTATGAATGAAACCGTGAGATGGTCCGGTGATTTTACCTTTTATTGCTTTATTGGTCACTGTTTTTCACCTTTTATAGATCTTAAGGTAGCCATGTGACCCCGGCATAGAACGGGCTACCCCTTCCTTTCCCGTGAGTGTCGTAAGAGGCGACTAAGTGAACTTAATGGGCAAGATATTGGCATCAGCGTCCTTCTTAAAACATCTCCAAAGTCTAACTGGGGTGCCAACCCGTTTACCAAATGTGGCAACTACTGGAGACACTCCCTAATTGGGGGAGGGTTATGTTCAGCAGTGGACAGTTAACAGCCAATATGATGATTATGATGACTGGTTTTTAACTAATTTCCTCTTAATATCAGCTTGGCTTTCCTAATTTTGCATATTCAAGATTTTCTATCCTGGGATGTCAGATTGGGTAATTTCTCTTCTTTTTCTTTCTCTACCAAACGTATAGTATTTGGGACAGAGAATAAAGGATATTTCATTAGATATTGTGTTCTCTCTGTCGATTCTATGCAATCAGTTGCATAAGAAGCAACTTGTTGCAAGAAATTGACATGATAATAGATAGATAATTTATTAATATTTACTACTCATATACTGCTAATTTTGTTCAACGAAAAGGACTCTAATATAGCTTACAAAACAACGATTTACCAAAAAACATGATGCAAGTAATAATATTTTTTAAATGTTCCCTAAATTTTTTTACTTGAGGTTTAGCTCAAAACTGTGATTCGACTTCCGAATCCCCGAAATGCAATTTAGCAGTGTCTAACTAAGATACCTTGTTAATAATTATGATTTGTTTATAAATAGCCGACGGTTACTACTTTCCATCAGGTGGACCGTCGTCAGCTTGTTTACCATTCTAAGTTGCATAAAAAAAATTGTACACAGGATATGGCAAACTACACGTGCATAGCTGAGAACATTGCTGGCCGACGGGAGTCCGATGTCGCTGTCCTATCTGTGTATGGTATGTCTATGTTATTTTAATTATTGTTTATGCTTGTTTAATTATTCATTAAAAGGATTTGGTTTGTTGATTAGAATTATTTTGTTTAATTCCGCTACCATTAGTATATGTGCCACTGCCAACACTTCAAGATTGACCACAACTGTTACTACTAGAAGTTCCACAACCTTCCATTTTGGCTGTCGATTTCCGGCTGCCATTTTGTTCAACGTCAGGCAAATTATTAGATCGCTGCTTGGAGCTTAGTGTTAACCGTTTGGCATCCAAACTACGACATAAGGAGACTTTATGCAAAAATCATATGCTTGAGCATTCTTGACCCAAGTTTTTTCTTTGTTATTGTTTTTGTCGCTAAGGCATTTGTTTCAATATATAGGGAGGGATATAACAGTAAAACTACAGGGTGTGGAAGTATAATGTCTTACTTCTTAGTAGGGATGAGTAATATATAGTAATATCTATGTATTTTAGTTGCAATATCTATATAATGGTCCAATAAAGAATATGATGAAAGTCTGTTATCCAAAAAACAATATTGGATGGCAAACTTTTTACATCTTCGAAAATAGATATCCGACCGATATTGGTGATGACCTATTTTCCGCTATCAATGTTCAGACGAACCCAATATATAGATATCGGATCGGTATCTATATTACCCATACGTACTCTTTAGGAATGGCAAAGCATGAGGAGCACCATGAGCATAACAAAATATTAAAAAAGTTTTAAAGTTCGGATTTTTTAGATAACTTGGTATATAAACCTGCAAAGGAAATAATGGAAAGCAGCTATCGTGGAAATCGCAAAATGCACGGTTACGCCCATTTTACATGCTGTTCCAAATCAGCCATGCCTCCTCAGTATCGAGGTACTGGGTGTGGTGTACTTACCCAATATCTACGTAACCAAAAATTGTGTTGACGAAATTAAAAATATGTTTAGTGAACGGCGGCTGGTCGGATTGGTCGCCATGGTTACCGTGTCGTTGCGGTGCGCAAACAAGCGGGCGGCGGCGCACGCGCACCTGCACGGAGCCCGCCCCCGCTAACGGCGGAGCGCACTGTAGAGGGGCGTCTTCGCAGAGCGACGACGACTGTATGAGATGCCAAAATGGTAAGAAATGTATAATCAAAGATTGTGCCTCTCGAGAAAAAGACTACTTCAATTGTGTTAAAACCAGTTTTGATCTAAAACTTAATAGTTTTTGTAAATTTTATTCAGTAATTTACTACTGAACCGATATTGATAAAATTTCTCACGAGACCAATCTCAAAGTACATCCTTTCAGATGAAAATAACAATTTTTCAAATATGTTTATAAATGACGAAGTTCTGAGGTGGAACAATGGACTATATCTTCCTACCAAAGAGAAAGACCTTAATCCAGGAGTTGGAGATAGGATTAAGGATTACCAGTTAGCAAAGATTGAAGGTGCTGTTCGTAGGTGGCACCTGGTCTTCATGGGGTACATGGTCCTCATGCAGCGAGGATTGCGTCAGGGTGAGAAGAAGAAAATGCTCCGGATCCTGCACAGAGTCCTCTTTGCAGCACGCCTCATGTGTGGACGGATTATGTTCTACAGGAATGAGTGAGTTGTTAAAGGTCTTGTAGTTTGTATCAGCCATTAACTGCCCACTGCTGAATATAGGCTCCCCCATGGGATCCAAGGGGGGTTTTGCTAGTAGTTGCTACGCTTCACTTGTTTCATGGGGTTGCCAGATGAAAATAGGTAATGATTTTGATAAATATGGTATACTCATAATGTTTTTTGATAAGTTCTCCTATCAAATTGGTTGCAAGTAAGGGTTGCCAGTATTTAAAGTTTTGTAGAATAATAACTATCATAAGTCTAAAATTGTAATTAAAATAAAAAAAAATGTATTTTAAAATAATTATATTTCAAAAATGTCTCTGTAGGATTATACACAAACAATACCACTATGTACGTGGGGATTGGTATCACGGTAGTGATGCTGGCCGCTGGAGCAGCTATTCTGTTCGTTTGGTGCAAGTACAGGAGCGGTAGACCCGGGTACGCTGCTGGTAGAGCAGGTAATTAGTACTAAACACGTATGTGTATAAACATGTATAAATGTTATGTTATATATATATATATATATATATATATATATATATATATATATAAGTAATATCCTCAGAAATATTACGTCCGTTCGTGGAACGTTAAGTCCACTATTTATTTACACTTTCTTGGCATATTAAAATGTAATAAATAAACAAATTCTATCGATCAAAAAATAATTATTAAGATTCGTTTAAAATTAACTAATATGTGGCTTAATACAATTACAGATAAAACAAAATTTAAGACAATCCAATTGTCAACTCTATTTTTAAGTAAATAAAAAAAGAAATTAGAAAGCAAGCCTCTTTTAATTTAAATTTCAGACTTCAAATCTTGTAAATGATATTTTTAATCTTATAACAATACTAATTAAGTTAAATTTCGAATAGGTATACCGAAATCGTACTCGAACCGCGACAAGGGAAACACCGCGCCGGACCTAACACGCACGTGCAATGAGTATTGGATGCAGGTGCCTGATAATCACTATGATATGCCACAGCTGAGAGACAGGTACGCTGTTTTATTTACAACCGACTTTACCAGACGGAGACCTTGTGCAAAAGTCGTTTGCTTGAGTACCTCTGTCCCATTTGTGTTTCTACCGTGAAGTAGTTGTGTTTTTTTTTTCAATAAATGATAATGGAATGGTAACCCCGCCTGCGCTAACAGTATACGCTGGTGGGACACTCGTGACAACAAACAGTGAAAAAACACCTGAGTCCTCAAGAATGGCAACGCATGGGGGTATCATGGGCGTATCAGTATACTCTGTTATGTCCATGGCATTGATTGTATGAAGCGTAAAGATTTCGTATTTTTTTATTAATGGGTGATAATGGAATGGTAACCCCATCCGCGCTATCGGTATACAACGGCAGGGCACCAGTGAAGGATGATAGGTGAAGATAAAGCAGGTCAGTTAGCCCATCGTGACGAATTCAACAAGAATTGTTCACGATGGTTTCCAGGCAGAGCCACGTGGAGGTCGACCTAATAGGGCTATATTATTAGCAATGGGGCTGTCAAATTCCATTGCCAACAATCCCTTTCCCCCCAGATTTCGTATTAAGCTTATATAATGTGTTTTCCCTAGCTATTCCTCTCCATTTGGCAACAGAAGTCGCCAACAGTCGACGGCCGGCAGCAATCACTACGAGATGAAGCCATATAGCCCGTCCGCTGACTCCGCATCTAGCTGTTATACCAACTGTGAGTGAAATAATGTAGCATAGTAATTTTTAAGGCATTTTTTATTTATTTTATTTATTTATTTATTCATAGGAAAACCAGGGCTACACTAGAGCAAAAAAATACAGTTTAGTATCACAAAATAAGCCACTAATAGGTTTTCACAAGTAACAACAATATAGATACAAGGCGCTGTACACAAAGAAACAAAAATAGGAGTATAAATAGTAAATTTTTATGAGAATTATATTGAGGATTAATCTGATGCTGAAGCTGTTTTTATTTTAATGGATCATCTCATCAGCACATTAGCCTTTAACTGTCCACTGCTGAACACAAGCCTCTCCTTGGGAGTTTTGTAGTTGCCACACTTGGCAAGTGGTTTGGCAACCGCAGTCAGGTTTTAGAGATGTTTTAAAAGGAACGCTGCCCATCCCTCACCCTTCCTTAGTCGGCTCTTACGACACCAACGGGATAGGAAGGGGTGGCCTATTCTATACCGGGGCTACATGGCCATTTTAATGTATGATAAATGGTAGCCCCGCCTGCGCTATTAGTTACATCCCTCACCAGTGAGGATGATAGGTAAGGATGAACAGTCCGGTCATTTAGTCCACTGTGACGAATTAATCGAATAACGATAGTTTCCAGAGGGAACCGCGTGGAAGTCGACCTGATTATATTAAGTTGACCTGAGTGTATTGATAGCAATGGGTACTTACCTCCTCATTACTTACAATCCCTTCCTTTACCTTTGGTAATTTAGTTCTTTTTTGTACAGCAAGAACTATGACGTCACGGTCCAGTGAGTGCTCCTCGTCGCAAATGGCGGACCTAGTGACGTCATCACCTACCTCGATCTCAAAGGTGGACGTAGCAGTCACCTTACCCACTGGCCCTCTGGACACCAGTTATAGAGATAAAATATGTTTGACCATTGTCAAATGAACTGTTATTATTTAATAACAATAATTATTTAACCAAAATGCATTTATTGTTTTGATTGTATGGTTTTTTTTTATGTGCGATTTATGTATACTATTAAGTTAGTAATTTAAACAATGGATCACTTGTAAGTTGTATATAAGTCAGTCATAACACAGGAATGGGGAAGCGTCATCAATTTGCTGGAAAAGAACTCTTACAGAGTTAAGCTCGCCTGTTGTACTGTACATCTTTATTTAAAATAAATTATACCAATGTAATTTTTGTGTATAATAAAATTTAAATAAATATATTTTTATAACACGAAGGTGGTAAACAAGCATACAGCCCGTCTGATAGTAAACGGTCACTGTAACCTATGGGCATCTGCAACGTTAGGCGTGTCACGTACGCGTTGCCGACCCTGAAGAAACTTTAAGACACTTCTTTTATAGAACCCCATCCTGTAAGGTAGATTCTAGAAAAAAATAACTTGACACGAATCTTATTTTATGACCTCTGTGTTTCTTATTTATTATATATATTCGCTTAATTATTTAATTACAAAACAAAATACATATAATTATTAATCGATTTCCCCACATTAACTGTCTCGTAGCGTTGAAAATTATATCAGACACAATTTTAATTATAATTAAATTATTATAATGCATAATTTAAAATTCAAGTTCAAATACGCTTTGAAAACCTTTTGTTGAAACCTTCAAGAAAAGAGCATTTTCCTTTTTAAAAGCCGGCGACATATTTGCAATTTCTTTAAAATTTGTAGGCGCCTATAGGCGACCATAGTCGCTTACCATCAAGTGAGCTGCATATTAGTTTTTCTTCTATTTTATAAAAAAAAACAATATAAAATATCAAATTCTATGATAATAGAATAGAATAGAATAAATATTTATTGTGAGCAATACATTATAATTTTTCGTAAGATGTTATTTAGGTCTTAAAGGAAAACACAGCCCACCTATACATCGGGCATACAATACGATTAATTACATAACATAAATTATTTTACAAACATACAATAAAATCGTCAATAAAGTTGAAAATAAAATAAAGCACGTCAATCGACAGTCACAAACTAACACGTGGTCACCATTAGGATATGTTAATGATCACCTTATGTATTAATTAAATTATTTATAATGTCAAAATAAAAAAAAAATGTCTAAAAGCAAAGAATTCATTCAAATTGTAAAAAGCATTTTCAATTAGCCATTTTTTTTTAATAATAATTTGAATTTTTAATTTGAACCTGTTTTTGATAATAATCGTAATAATGTAGTGAGTTCAAACAACAGAACAAAAGTGCCTACAATATTATGAGCCTGGATATATACGTGTGTATGTTTGTATTTTATAAAAAAACCGGCTTTAATTGACATGGACATAACAGTATACTCTGTTATGTGCATGGTACTGCTCATGTCTATAGGCGACGGTTACCACTTTCCATCAGGTGGGCCGTCAGCTTGTATGGCATTCTAAGTTGTATAAAAAAAAAGTTAATTGTAGTATAACCAGTTATTTTTATTTAAAAGCTGAACTACTGCACCGATTTTGATGAAATTTCTAAGGGACCAAACTATAAGTATAGTCTTTTAGATATAAAATGAATTTTTAAAATCGATTTATAAATGACGGAGTTAAGAAACATAAAAAAATAACCGAATAGATAACTTCCTTCTTTTAAAAGTCAGTTAAAAATGAGATAGATATTTAACCAAAAGCGGGTAGAAGTGTTATTATAGGTGTTCGGTAGTAATGAATCGGTTTCATTATGACATCCCACGGTCCCACAGGTGGACCTCCATAGTAAGATCGTTTATTTGTTATTTTACTTTTAATATAAAAAATATTAAGGTTAACACAAGTCTGTTGTTATTAAAGATACTATGTAATCCTAGTATATAATTGTAAATAATGTATTTAAAAACTGTGATATTTTATATATTAAAAAAAAAATTAAAAAAAATTACAGCAAAAAAAAAAGAGTTTTATTTCTCTATAATTTTTTTTAACCTTTATATTCTTTTAACATACAACAATATTCTTTTTACATTAAAGGCTATTCATGGATAAACCAAAAGTTGAACTATTTTTAAAGTGTAAATCCATACAAATGTCTGTATGTATTGAGTCTCAAAAACGGGTCAACTTTTTGTCAGCTAATTGTTAAATTAGCTGTCTCGTTTTGTTATCCGTGTTCCTGTACTTACTGTCCTGTGTATTTACGCATACAATGTATCTTGACGTATTATTTAATAAATAAAATGAGTATTTACGCATTAAAAAGATGCAGAAATTAAAAGACAAAATAAATATAGAAGTTATAAATGTATCACTTATCACGCACAATTTATCACGCAAAGTTGTATGAAAAAGTTGACCCGCTTTTCTCGAAGCATTTGTATGGAGAAACTTTGTCTATATAATTTAAGATGTATATTGTATATATAATGAAAGATATATTTGCCATGTGATTCCAGCATAGAATAGGCCACTCTTTACTTTCCCGTGGGTGTTGCAAAAGTCGACTAAATAATTATTAGATTAGAGATACAAATCGTCTACCATTTATTGAAAATATGGTATTGATTCAATTAGTAAATAAAATAAAATAAGTATTAACTAAATAAATGATCTTATGGTACTTCTGAAAGATAATAAAACATCTGGCATACAATCTAAAATAATTTAGCCTCAGTAAACTAAATAAATATATACGATTTGTAAAATAATATTAATTAATTTATTTATTTACACTTTATTACACCATTTACAATAATAATAAATACAGTAAAGTTTAATGAGAAGCGATACAAAAGTCAGTACTTTATCTCTTAGAAATCTCTTTCAGCCAATCTTTGGTAGAGGACATTGAGAGAAAAGAGACAAAGGTGGTGCACTATTATATACTCGTAGATACTGAAATATACAAATATACACATAAACATACACATATTCAGTAGTACACATACAACAGGAAAAAAGGAAAAAGAAAAAGATAAAAAGAGAACACAGGAAAACAGTAATTAACCCTTATTTGTATAATGATGGAAATTTCCATCATAACATTGAATGCTCAAAAATTATATAAAAGAACAAGTTCACTTTAAGTTGACCGTGTCTAAATACCTTTTTAATGTCGATAGCAGAAAAAAAACATAGCTGTCACATTTATTTTTTTAATAATTTTTCCTTTCTATTTGAACATGAATTATATCACCTTGATTTATTTCACCAATAAAAAAATCATGCAAAGAAGGGTTAAAAGGGATTTATATTTAAAAAATGTTGACGATCTAAGACATATAAACAAAAAGTAGAGAAAGTCAAAAATTGTCTTAAAGAGCTCGAGAACTTGGTATCAAAATAAAACAATTATCAACACTACACAGGACCACCCAATAAAGTTATGTCAGTGTGTAATTTTTCAAGCCCCTTTTATTGTTGGATAAAGAGGCCCCTTTACAACATACGAGACGTCGCACCGTTCACGTTATTTTTATGCATTAGTCACACACACGTATATATATTATTTAGTACAATCCTAATAGTTGTCAAACGATACATATATATATATATATATATATATATATATATATATATTCTTTATTGCACTAAAACATACAGTAACAACAATAAGTTAATAACAATGCTAACAAAGGCGAATAATTTATTTATTTTTAGCAGTGGAAAGTTGATAGCTAAAATGATGGTATATGATTAAGTAGTAAATGTCAAAAGGTAAATTTTATATTTTATTATAAGTAAAAAATAAATATCAATGGATCGTATAGTAATCGTGACGTGTAAATGACATCAATACCATTACAACCATTATAAAGTACTATTTCTGTATCATGTCATTAGTCAAACTGTATCAGTTTAAACTCGAGTTCAAAGTTCCCTTTTAACTGAACAGTTACATTTGTCACTTAATACTAATTGGTTATGTTTAGGGTCAGTTTTTAACGTCGCAACGATCGTAGTTATAAAATCTGATTCAATATTGTATAAAATAACAATAATTATATTTATAGTAATCCTAGATCTAGACTTTAGATTAAACTGTAAAGTTAACTCAGATTAATGCTCATAATAAATCAAGATAGATAGATAATTTATTTGCATTACTTACAACACACAAATAACAATACAAACATACACATAATATAGATAAACACAGCAAAAAGAGGTAAAAAAATTAAAAACAAACAAAAGCAACAAAAAAAAAGCAAAATATATAAAACAACAATTTCCTTCTTTCATGTGTGTGCCATAGTAACACAAAATGGTCACAACTCAGTTTTTTTTTATACAACTTAGAATAGCAAACAAGCTGACGGCCCACCTGATGGAAAGTGGTAACCGTCGCCGATAGACATGAGCAGTACCATGGACATAACAGAGTATACTGTTATGTCAGTTTATTGCTTTGCCCTCAAGAGAGCAAAACACTGATATTCACTGCAAAAAATCAACGCTGAGAAACTTCTTGTATCCACTGACTAGAATAGTACTCCCAGATGCTGTAGAATTATAGCAGGTTTGGTTAGAACAGCTAAAATGAATGCCAACACACGTCATTCTTAACCTGGCTATACTATGCATCAGCGCCATAAAAGGCCCAACGGTTTTTTTTTATTATAGCACGACATGTGACTACACCATCCTAAGAGCGAAATCAGAGGTTACGTGGTTCATGAATACGGCTAACCGAAAAAAAAAGCGTTCCACTTTCAATTCTCAACATAAGCTAATTTACTAAGTGCTTTTTCACGCTACGATTGAAGGATACGAGGTTATAGGTTGCACGATAGGCTACCTGACCTGCCTTTTCATCCTCAACAATCATCTCTCACTGGTGTCCCTCAATGTATACCGATAGCGTAGGAAGGGTTACCATTCCATTATAATTCATTAAAAAAAATAACATTATTCGCATTATCCTAACTACTCCCGTTTCCTTCCATTCTAGGGCTTGACTCACAGTACGCCTACAGGATTGTTTTTGTCCAAATGTCTTACTCATGCTTCCTGGAATCCTAGAAAGGTTACTTATATTTTTGGCCGTGACTCAAGCTACTGTGTCAACTAGCTCGGATGTTAATTGTTATTTGTTTATAACGCTTGACGAATAATGGTAATAATTGGTACATTCAAATTGTTTTTTGCAGACTTGTTTCTAAATTTGGTAAGAATTTTATTCTTTCACTATTTTTTTACGTTTGCTTCTCTTTTTAAGACCTTTTAAATTAAAAAGAGAGAGAGAGGACAATGTAACCTAATTGCATTCGTTAACACAGAAGTTCACCAACCTCCCAGGAAACCACTAATCAATCAATTAATCGTTTAACTACTAAACAATGCGACAGACTGACCAATGTATTTCCATAGTAGATATATGGGACTTGTAGCAATGTATATCAATACATATAATAAAATCGTAACTGGTCGCTGTCTGTACATGGAAGATATATAAGAGGTTTATGAAATTAATAGAACCCAAAACAATGATTTTTACAATTTTTGTCTGTTTGTCTGATACATTTGTGCACACTAATCTCAGAAATGGTTTAATCGGTTTAAATGCGGTTATCACTAATGCGTTGCGGTTTTCTCCACTTAACATTTAGTGTTACTTTTATTTCAATCGGTTCATAAATAAAAAAAAAAGTTATATCAATTTAAAGAATCACGTATACATTGCTATAAAATTCTAGAAACAAGCAAACTATATATAATTACTCCTCTCCATCCAAAGGTTACCTGGAAGAGATCGCTCTTAGCGATAAGGCGGTCAATTGTTTTCTTAGTGTAATATTTTCTTGTAATTGTTTGTATTTATAATAAGTTTAATATTGTAATCTTATGGAGGAAACAATAAAGAGTATCTGTCTATCTCTTTCAAAGATTTGTATAACTACATTAATTAATGTTGATAGAAAACAATCTAAAAATACCAGAGGGAGACTTTGTACAAAAGTCGTTTACTTGGGCACCTCTGTCCCATTCGCGTTTCAACCGTGAAGCAGTTGTGTTTGCATGACTGTGTTTCGGTTTAAAGGGTCAGGTATGTCAGTGAATTTACAGGGTACAGAGGAATAACACCTGAGTCCTCAGGAATGGCAACGCTTAGGGAGTATAATGGGCGAAACAGTATATTCTGTTATGCCCACGGTACTGCTCATGTTGTTATCACTTTCCATCAGATGGGCCGTTAGCTTTATTGCCATTTTAAGTTGTATAAAAAAAACTTAACATGTATATAATAATGATATCAAATCTTATGTACTGTAAATAAAAAATTGAGTTTATTTCAACAGGCAATATAGGAAAACATAATCATTCCGTTGATTGAATCAAAATGGCCACGTAACTACACATACAGATGTTTGCTAATAGCAACTGGCCGCATATTCATTAACTTAATTGTCTGTCGGAGGTACCTGAATCTATTACCTTAATACCTGAATCCACAGCGTCTGGTGTGCTCTTTGATGTGTGTATTGGATTAGATAGATAGAAGGCAAAAAGTTAATAAAAAACAACTCAGTAATATTATTAATAATTAAGTATTATTTATTATAATATAACCTTAATTATACTAAATTAATTTTCTAAAGTTTAATATTTTTAATTTATTGCGTTTGTTTGCAATATATCGTCGATCAAAAAAGCTGAATTCAATTGTAAATATCGCATTAAAAATCAAATTCGCCTTTTTTGTCGACGAATATACTTGTAGTAGGCAAGTTGGCAACCGCAGTTAGGCTTTTGGAGATTATTTAATAGGGACGCTGCCCATCCCTTGCCTTCCCTTAGTTGCCTCTTACAACGCACACAATAAACAAATACACACACACACACATACACACACATACACACATACGCGCGCGCGCGCACGCACGCACGCACGCACGGACGCTCGCACGCACGCACGCACGCACGCACGCGCACACACACACACAC